CACGAAAACACGAGCCATTATGATACAGACTTGTAATTTGCACCGATGTTTTTTCGAAATTCTATACGCAAAAAGTGAGCGCGAGAGCCCTCGGTGCTTGCTGCTGAAGTCAAAGTAAACTTTATTGTCATCTCCGCTATATACAGTCCAGTATATAGAGAGACGAGACAAGGCTCCAGTTACAGCAGTGAAAGTAAACGAACAACAAATATAAGAAGAGTAAGAAAATAAATACACACTTTAGGACTAGGGGTAAAGGGATCAATAACAATTTAAAATTTATAATTTACAGTTTGATGATCTCACACACAACCTGTCGACAGGGGAGGGGGGCCGGCTGCTTCCAGATAGAGCACATTTCATTCATAATGATGTAAATCCAATCCCATTATGTATTCATGATTTGAATCCTGGGTTGTGTGAAATCCCAGAAATACACCTTAGACCAAGTGAATCTGTGAACTAAGGTGTAGGTCTATTAGATTATATTGTGGCAATCCTCGAGTTGGGGGATTTGTGTTCATACTGGAGTGCAAAATGAAAACCAATGGAAGATGGACAAGAAAAGTTCAAAGCCATCAGGTGCTCAGTTTAGAAAAAATAAAAAAGAAGAGGAAGAAAAATAAGCAAAAGATACAGGTAAGCAGATGTGTCATTGGATAATGGCAGGTCATCCTGAAACAATCAGAATCAGAATCAGAATACTTTATTAATCCCTAAGGAAATAATGTCGGTTACAGTTGCTCCAAAGAGAAATGGTAAAAATAGTAACAGTAACAGACTAAACTCCAAACAATACATTATGTTACAGATTTTAATATTAATTAGTCATTGTCAATTGTTGTCAATTGCTGATTCGTCCTGTTCTCATTGTATGACGAATTATGATGTCTATAAATCAATCCCTGATGCATACTCTCTTCATATGTGTGTGTGTGTGTTTCTCAGGTGAAATTCAGTATGGTTCTGACAACAGTTTTATGTTAATGTACAATCCTTAATATGTTTTGTGTGTGTGTGTGTGTGGGGGGGGGCGCCAGAGGGAGTGTTCGCCGTTTGAAGTGAACGATGCGTTTTCCTTTCTCTCACCCTCTCTCTCTCTCTTGCACTTTTGTTTTTGCTTCATGTGAGTCACATGTGAGCCTTGTGCTTGCGCTGAGCAGAGGGGGCAGGGGCAGTAGTTACTAGTGATGGTAAATTTGATTCTTTTTACTGAATCAAGTTTTAATGAGTCACTCACCAAAGTGAATCGGGTTTTTTGAGTCATTTGATTCACTGAGTCAGTTGACCAGAGAGTGCAAAAAATGTACATTTTCACTCAAACTTAATTTGTTTCTCTTTTCATGTAAATCCTACTGCTAAGATGAATGATTCTAAAAGAAAACAACTATTTTATAGAGAAAAAAAGAGCAAAAACATTTCTAAAATTAAGCAATTTCCTATCAAAATTGCTTCTCTCGGTTTTTATTACCGCTAATCATTTTAAAGCTCAGTTTTTAAACCCTTACGATGTAACTACAGCGCAGCCCAAGCAGCAGTATATTAATGACTAACCTCGTTTTGTGGAGGGATTATCTCGGTGGTTCTCCTGACTGACGTTTGGTCCATTTACAGCATCCTGCCATGCGATTGCATTTGCCCCTAACCTTTGGGAACCCTCACATTAACTTTTATCGAGTGGAAAGTTTTTTAGCGTTCGTCCTCCAACTTTACTGTTTATGTTATGTTGGATGGAAGCTAGCGAGCTAACTCCCTGCTACCTTCTAACTCTGTTAAATGTCATAAATTCCGTTTTCATGGATGCCTGAATGTTAAACTTAATTGTTACACCTGGTAGAGCAGCAACACTGATCATTTTATTACAGATGAAAGAATTGAGACAGTTTTTAACTCTCAGTAATGCTGCAGTGATCATTTGACTTAGGGACCTGCAGCGGAGTTTGGGCCCAGACATGGCTAATGACGTCAGACTTAACAACCGGGTATCTTTTCTCTAGTTCCTTAGCAGTAGCCTCATGTTGAAACTCGACAATAATCTGACCACCAGTTGATAGCTTAATCTGCCTACTGACAGGACTGAAAGCTTTTACAAACTCAATTATTTCTTCATCAATGATTGTGTTAGTTAAACCACTGACCAAAACAGCATTTTGAACTTTAACATTCTCTGTTTTCACAACTTCCATTGTTAGCACACGTAAAAGTACCAGTCGTTGAAAAAAAAAAAGTCATTGTGAAGCTCCGGGCACTCTTAAAGGTTTTATTAAATTTTAGGCGGGCTAACAACTCTGCAAACCCTCCTGGCTCGCCACTTTCTGTAGCCAAGTAGAGAATAGGGTAGGAGAAGTTAAAGTGAAATGGAGAGAATGGGCCAATAGCTAGATTCGTAGGAGGAATAAAGTGAGTTGCGTGGAGAAAAATGACTGAAGCCACAGGTAAAGTTGCTTTGAATCTTAAACTTTGAATTGAGTTTAAAATGACAACTTTGGAATTCTACTAGAAACAGTCATGGCAAACTACGCTAAATTAGCATTTTTAGCGAACAGCTACAATAACAATAAAAGTTACTGTACGGCTACCATTTGTTAACTTGACGCTTGTTCTTATACATGTAATACATTTATTACAAATTTGAGAGTTTATCTGCTGGTCATTCGACATGACGAATGACTTCTAAAGTCTTAATGCAGCTCAAGATGCTGTAGATACCCGTCAGTAATACTTTCGGTCCGCTGGTAAAATGTAGTTCTATTAATCTGTGCTCGATTACTCTGGAACCGGAACCAGATGTAAGTCCCAAAAAACTGAATTTTGGAATTGAAATTGAATTGTAGAACCGAATAGTGATAAGTGAAACTGAAGTTATTCGAGAGCTACATTTTTAAAGGATAAAATACAGTTTCAAAGCAAATGAATTCATTTCCAAAATATAAACTTCAATTTCAATTTACTGATGATCATTTTCAAACCAATAAGTTGAATTTAAAATTAGGCTACTTCAAATTCAGTTTTAAAAAGCATTTATTCAAGTTACAATTCAGATTCAATGCGAGCAATTCAAATTCGAATTTAACTTATTCGAATTCTGTTTCTGATGGCACAAAGTTCTGCCCATACCATCACAGTTGTACAGTAACACAGTACAACCTGCTACAACCTGCTTTATAACCACAATTACTGGTGGAAGGGTTAGTTCAGCCCTTTAACAGAACTGACAGCTTCATATGTTTATTAAATGATTCAAGTTTTTTTTTTCAGGGTGGTACGGTGGTTAGCACTGTTGCCGCACAGCAAGAAGATCCTGAGTTCAATTCCACCATCAGGCTGGGGTCTTTCTGTGTTGTGTTTGTGTGGGTTCTCCCCGGGTATTCCGGCTTCCTCCCACAGTCAAAAGACATGCAGTTAGTGGGGACAGGTAAATCAATCAATCTAAATTGCCCATAGGTGTGAATGCGGGAATGAATGTGAGTGCGAATGGTTGTTTGTCTCTGTGTGTTAGCCCTGTGACAGACTGGTGACCTGTACATGGTGTACCCTGCCTCTCACCCTATTACAGCTGGAATCCAGTGCCCCGGGCAACCCTGAAAAGGATAATCGGAAGCGAATGGATGGCAGTATGGAAGTTTTTTTCACTCCTCATCTGCTGGTTTCCTGTCCTGTACCTCCAAAATACGTTTCCTATCAGCTGTAGCATAACCATAAAACCAGTGTGTGACCATAACACACAAACACAGCTGATATCTTTTATCTTTTGGATATGGAGCGATGACAATGTCCTTCTCGTCATGAGACTGTGTTATTGTACAAACCAGATTTAATCATCACAATGAGTAAATGGAGAGGCTAGGGCCTGAATGATGCAGTGATTCACACAAAGCTTTTATTGCGGTAAAGCACTTTATTCACAACAGGAAATGACAAAGCAAACAGATGCACACACTTCCTGCTCAGCAGGAAGCTCACAGAAGTGTTTACAAGAGGAGCTCAGACATGTTTAAATATTCATATTAGAGCAGAGCACTCAGATAAAAATGTTTCTTCAATGATTCAATGATTCTGACATTGCTGTGATTACTTTTCTACTTTACAGTCTACATCTGTTACAGTTATTCTTCATTTTCAACAACATGGGAAGAACGTGTGATCTGATTGGTTGGCGTGCAGAGGCCCACGGAGGGCAAGATCTCCAAATCAAGACTTGAGGGAAACGTCGGGTGTCTTGTGACGTCGAGTTTTACATGTCGAACAGGAAGAAGCTTTTATCCAGAAAAAGTCAAAGCTGCAATCTGATTGGCTGACGAAGCTCACAAACATCAAGACATCATTTAAAACATGAATAAAAGTTGTGGATGTAAACAGCCTTCAAAGATCAAACACCTGGAATCATCCCAGAAACCCCACCTTTAGCTTCAGACCTTTCTACCTGTCACAGCTTAGGTGCGTCCGGCTCGCAGGAAACAGGACGAGGACTTTAGGTGTTGCTCTGAGTCCCTGCAGAAGATCCCAGCTGTGAGTTCCTTGCTCTGATCAAGTGGTCCTAAACATTTCACAAACGAATGCTGTACTGTTGAACTATCTAGAACCACTGCACCAGAGAGGACGAGCAGGCGGCGGTGTGGCGCTCTGAGCCGGCGTCTCCACCTTTTAAACAGCAGCGAGGAATGAAGGCGCAACCGGCCCGACCGGCAGGAGGAGGTTACCTGCCTGGACAGGTAATGACAAGGCGAGCTGCTTCACATGAAAACACCCAGACGCTCCTGCTCCACCAGTTCGTTCACCTCCGAGTTTCATTCAAACTCTCTGAGCTTTATTTACAGGAAATACGTTCCCGACACACTGAGGTTCTCGTTTAATGCCACCGACCAATTCAAACATGAGCCCAGGCCCACTCCGTGTCACATAACATGCTGGCTCTCAAAGGTCAGAGGTCAGAGATGTGTGCTTACACTCTATTATTTTTTAGTGAGGGGTCAAGCATCACTGCAATTTCATAACAGTACCTCCGTCCGTCCAGAGAAGCTCAGACATCCGTCTCCCGGCCTCCTCCTCCGGGATCTCCTCCTGGTGAGGTGGGACCCAGGAGACTGTCAGCAGAGGGTCAAAGTTCAGTGTTTTTCTAACACAGACGGGTGGGTTCTCATCCTGCAGGCGAAGAGAGCGCGCTGGCATCACGTTTGATGAATGTGCTGGACAGTTCGGTGGATTTATTCAGCGTTTACTCGTTTCACTCGCATCTGGTCTTGCAAGTGCAAGACCAGCATGTAAGTAAGAGCTGTTTCAATCAATCAATCAATCAAAGCTTTATTCGCCACATGCAGGTTGCCCTGCAGTAAAATGGGA